CGTTGCAATATGGACATCAAATTTATCTGATCAGGCACGGATGCCAAAGCACTCGTGTATTATTGTACCGACTACATCACAAAGACAAATGTATCCTTTCATGACACATTTTCTCTTGTCCAGAAGGCTGTTGGACCGAATGATAATATTAATTTAACTGAAAATTCTATCGACAAAGCTCGAAAGCTTGCCCTACGCTGCTATAACTCACTTGCTTCGCAACAAGAACTCTCTGGTGTTCAAGTATCCACTTATCTAATGGATTATGGCGATCATTACACCAGTCATGGATTTGCTAATATCTTTCTTATAGCTATCGAACGCTATCTTCAGAATGAACTCGACCAAAACAAAGCAGCTCTTTCTGCGTCTTCCACATCTACACAAGTGACAAATACAAATCCGATCGACATCGTCGAGGATGAAGAGGAGGATAATGTTGCTGCGATGGCGGAACACTTCTCGATCGAACAATCTACTGATGAACAAAAATTAGTTCTTGTCAATCTACGAATCGATTATCAATTTCGGTCTCCTGCATTGGAGTCAGTCTGTTTATACGAATTTGTCAGTCACTTTCATCGGAGATCATTCACTGACAAGGATCGGCATACTGTAGATCACCCACCCACAAATACTGACGGTGTTCGAGTAGTCCCAGGTCGTCCACCTCAAGAAAGATACACATTTATGACTGAACATCCGCAAGCAAGTACTCATAGCATAATTAAGCATCTTAAATCTGTTGTTTCTGTACTCGTTGGTCCACAGATTCCACGTAAAGATAGAGAAGAAACGCAAGAAAGATACAGCCGAGCAATAGCTACCCTTTTTATTCCGTGGAGAGCTGTGAAAGATCTTTGTGATGTCAATCAGAGTTGGTACGAAGCACTTTCCTCACGACAAGAAAGTCTTTCAACAGAATCACAACAGATTATCGAGAATATTCAACTCTTGTATGAATGCAAGAAAGATCGTGATGCACATCTACAACAAGTTATTGCAAATGTTCAAACCAGTGACCAAATAGATCCTCGTCTTTTTCCTCGAAACATGCGTATCAATAGTGATGATGAGGATCTCGATCAAAACGAAACATATCTGAACTTCCTCGATAGTCTATCAGATAACAATGCATCGTCTGTCATCAGTCATCTTTCTGAAAAAGAGCAACTTTATCGAGATGAAGCACTTCGCTGTTTACATGAGGTTGGCCGATTTTCGAATTGTACCAGTAAGTTTGTTTTCTTCATCGTAACTTTGAATATGTAAAAGCATTTTTCTGATTAGAACACGATCAATCCTTTATACCTGCTACTTCTCTGTCATATTTCTCTGTCAAAACTCGGCATTCAGAGCAGCAAAATGCTGCATGGTAAGCCGCCATAAAATCTGATGCTCTTCGTAGACGACAACAGAGTATCTTAGAGGATGCTCCTCCGCCACTCAACTATGCTTCTGATAAACTGGTCTCAACTACTACTACAAACTATATTGCTGAAGGTGCAACACAAATTAGCGATCGAATTCAGTCTGTTACAACGGACATATCACCGATTCTGACTCGTCAACAAGTCTGTGAGAAGTTTACACTCAACAATGAGCAAGCACGAGCTTTTTATATTATCTGCCGACACCTTGATGGAGAAAGTCACCTGAACACAGGTAAAAATAAGTCATCTTTTTTTCTCGATTAACTATTTCCTTGCCAGGTGAGAATCAGCAACAATTGATTATGTGCGTACCAGGGCCTGGAAGCACAGGTAAATCTCGACTCATCGATGCAATTACTTGCTATTTCGTTGAAACGCAACGAACAGAAAAACTTCAAAAGCTCGGATCCACAGTCGTATCTGCCTCACTCATTGGAGGCCACACGATTCACTCTTTCTTAGGATACCTACGCAACACCAAACGCCAAAAAAAGACGACGAAACCAGGATCATCGAACATTGAAAACGATTGGAAACATGTGAATTATCTGATTATCGACGAAATTTCCATGGTTGGGCTTCGATTATTAGCTCGATTAAATGTGTTAATTACTCTTGGGAAGCGGGCGCCATCCGAAGTGCCTTTTGGTGGTATCAATATTATTATTTTCGGCGATTAAATACAACATATGCCAATCCTCGACAAACCTCTATATACAAATCTCGAGCATGACCTTTCTACTCGTTTGCCCAGAGAGACTGATGTTCAGTACGGGGTTGGACACTCATTGGTTCTACAAATCAACACAATCACGAAGTTGACGCAGCAAATGAGAACCGAAGATCAAAAGTATTTGACTCTACTCAATCATCTTCGTTTGGGGGAAACGACACGCGCCGATTTTGACTATCTCTGTACGCGAATTATCGGCTCTGGAAAAATCGTTCAATCGCTGAAAGAGAAACCCTGGTGTGATGCACCTATTCTCGTCTTTTGTAATCAATTACGAACAGAAATAAACAATCGAGCCGCCCTCGACAAAGCAAAAGAAGCTGGTATCCCATTAGTCGTCGTCGAAAAATCTGATTTACAGCTAGAACAAACCTCATATGGATTAGTTTTATATATCTGAAGAAGCACTGCATTTTTGGACTCGTCGCTCATTTCCTGTTGAGACTATAATGTCGTTTCGACTTTGTTGATGAAGTTTTTCCCTTTCTTAGTTGTAGTCGAGTTTTTAGTAGAAGTACTAGATTCTTCAATTATTGCTGTTGTTTGTAGATCAGACTCTTCAATGCTTGTATTTTACTTTCTCTGGTGAAGTCTGAAGAAAAATTAATATCCTCATCTATTCAATAAAAGCTTAAATCCAAACTAATTTTATAAATAGGATGCGCCGGTCAAATATGACACACAAAATAGTAAGATAAAGAGAAAAACCAAGTGGCTCATCGAACTTAGTTTCGATTTTGGGAGTGAAAATAAGCATGCGAAACAGAAAAAGTCAAGGCAAAACTAAATGAATAAAAAGAGTGTTGATGGTCCTTGATCAACTCATTAATATAACTCTTCACTTTAATTCTTTATGCAAAAATGACACAAATTCGATTCAAAAACATAGTTCGTTTTAATATAGACTAATTTATGACTGGAAAAACTCAAAAATCCAAATGGGGTACAAAATGTGTACCTCAGGGGTACAAATTTTTCTGTGGTACAAAAAGGTAAAATGGGGTATTGTACCCCAAAATGGGGTACGTATGGCAGCCGTGGTTCTGCTTTGCTTTGTCATTGTCCTAGTCTTTTCTTCAGCGTTTTTTTTTCGACATTTTTTGTTTCGACGTCTTTTGTTTCAGTCTTTTTAATACATACCAAGATATTTAATGCATGTTAGGTTTATTTATTAAGCGTTGCAAAAGTCTTTGGAAAAATGTCAAGCAGTGTTAGACTATATTGCTGACTTTTGAACCAATCAATTTTTTTTTGTTAGAAAGAGCAATGTCCGAACTACAAATTTTGTAGCAGACATATTTTTCCAGAACGAATCTGAGAAGGAGGAAAAGCTCAAAAACCAAACACCTCTAAAAAGTTCTTGCAACTTCACCATCGAGCAACATCATTTTCTATTTATTATTAGTTTTTTGTATTAGAAGAGAAAACCAGAAAGCACGTTCAATGATGACTTTTTGTAGCACAAAGAGTGGTCTGTCTAATGGTGTATTGAAAGTTCAATTCGTTTCTGGTTTCTATATCAATAAATAGCCCTTTCTGAAAGACACTGAGTAATTTGGTCGTCCTGACTACTTGAGCATTTTACAATGATGAAAGTACTTTAATGAATTATTTTTTGCTGCTAAAGTTCTACGATTGGACATATTTCAATCAAATAATGCAAAAAGAATTCACTTCATATGTGATTTCTGGAGATGGTGGCTGACATTTTTGTAAATCGATAGTTCTTGTAAAAAAAACTCAATCTTCCAAAGATTTCATGTTTCAAACTTTTTTGATTAAAGAGTCAAGAGTAGATCCAAAGAAATCCTTCAAAGCTGGTATTGATAGAGTTTTTGATCCGCTATATTTTGGTGTATTTTGTGTTCAAAATTGATCCAGTGTAGCTCAAAACAATTGAGAAATACAGGCTTCTCAAGTTGCGAAAGTGTTGCAAGAATTTTATAGAGGTGTTTGGTTTTTGAGCTTTTCCTCCTTCTCAGATTCGTTCTGGAAAAATATGTCTGCTACAAAATTTGTAGTTCGGACATTGCTCTTTCTAACAAAAAAAAATTTGATTGGTTCAGAAGTCAGCAATATAGTCTAACACTGCCTGACATTTTTCCAAAGACTTTTGCAACGCTTATTATCTTGAAATCGTTAAGCAACTATTGAACAATGCTTTCTAGATGTTACAAAAGAATTTATTTACACTTACTATCAAGGTGAAGATATTCTACAATGAATTATTAATTCATTGAAATCAGTTAATATTTAGTTATAAAATTTATTTTTCTGACAATTCTGTTTTGTTATTGTCAATGAGATTATCTTTTATTCAGAGAATATATTTAGAGAAGCTTTTTTTATTGTTACAGTGACAGTAAAATTAAAGTTAACGTTATATCATAAAGAGAGAAACTATTTTTTATTTAAATTTTCACTCATATTTTATTGAGAAGAAATAATCAAAAGTATCTATAATAAGTTTTTAAATAATCAGCAATCTATGAATTAACTCTTTGTAACTGTATATTGGTAGATTTAGACCTCATTAGAAAAGATACTGAATACTTCAATCATTCTTTAGTTTAAGACGACTGTACACAATCAAAATGCCTTCTTACATCCATTCTAGAAATCAATTTGTCAGCTGACTTATCGGCATACCACATTGTACTATGGTATGCCATCATGTATTGAGTTTGTTTGTCAATCGCTTATTATTTGATAGATTATTTTCTTATAGTTTGTTTTCATTTTCCACGATGGCTACATCTGTCTTTATAATCAAAATGTTCTTTTATTTTTATTTTTTATAATCACAAAAAAGACAAATACATATGAATATTTTTTTACTTGCGAAAATCTTTTAATCCGCTTTTAGAAATATTTTGATCACGTTCAGCTAATTTGAGCACCATGTTCTTTACCATTAAAGTGTATTTATATTCGGCAGGATAAACATGATTAAGACATTTTGTAATCATATCTCGTTGTTCAGCTACCGATCGGATGGGCTCATGAGCATACTGAAATCGATCACTCGCTATTTTACGTAAATCAATTAATTTCAATTTCAACATAGTCACTCGTTTTAATTCACTTTCAATTGGTTCAATGAAAGTTCGTACGCGTTCATGATTTTGTACATTTAAATCTTCTTTTGGATCAACAAATTTCCTGTCAATGTTCAGTGACACCATAGCTTCTTGCTCACGAATAGACCATTCGTCTAAAATAAGCGTAGAAATTATTAATCGTTTTTTCAAACTTTCTTATTTGGTTTTTATGAATTACCTGTGAATTTTGGCCATGTGTTCATTGCTGGCCATACTTGTTTGATAATATCGTCGAGGAAATAAAATCGAAATAGCCTTGCTATATCAAATGCTTTGATACTTGTGTCTTACATTTGTTGCTTTAATTCGAGGGTTTGAATACGTAATTCTTGAGATTCAATTTTTGATTCCTGATTTGTTAATCGATCTTTTAAATTTTGTATTTCAAACAGAATCGTCGAGAAAATTTCATTAAGATTTTGTTTATCATTAGCAGTAATATTCAATTGTACCAATAATTTAGATAACCATTGATGCAAATCTTCATCATTATGTTCAACAATTTTTTTCAGAATTGGCATACAAGCAGTAAAAGCATCCTGTTTCTTTTCTTCTTCATGATGATCAACTTGTATTAAGTGATGATCCATTAAGATCTTGTAAATAACATTAAAAACTTGTTTGTATTGCTCTATACTAATCTCTGTAAACAACTAATTACAAAAAAATATATTTATGAAAAACCAAATATTATGTTCGATGGAATAGATACTTTTGGTGTTCTTTGTGCTGTTTGGGCAGCATAACGCGTTAATGTTGTCGACATTGGTCGAGATGTTGATAAAGCAAAAACATGACTGCATCCAAGATACTTTGAAACAATAAAAGAAATAAGACAATAGGAAAAAATGATTTATTAATATATAAATTTACTTTTGCTGATTCAGAACTAAGAGCAAGTGCTCGTTGTCGAACTACAGATAGAAGAGCTCGTTTCATGATTTTATTTTCCGCTGTTGTCGGTTGAAATTATTTGTAAAAAAAGAAAACAGTACAACCCAGGTCCAATAAAACGGCGTCGTAAACGGCCTGAAACGGCGATTAACGATGTAAAACGTCGATAAACGGCACCGTAATCCGTCATACCAGATTACGGAAGCAAAACCGGAAAAAAACGACCGCCGTTTTCTAGCGATAGACGGTGGTCGTAATATGGTATGACGGATTACGGCGAAATAAAGCCAAAATTACTGCAGTAATTCGCCGTTTTATAGTCGTTTCAGGCCGGATACGACGCCGTTTCCGACGGCCGGAATGATCCACCTGGGAATGATTGGTAGTGCAAAGTTATACAACAGAGGCCTATAGGAAAGATTGATGCAATATTATTGAAAAATGATTTTTTTTTAGAACATATGTAAATTTATTTTCATTTTAAAACATTTTTATTTAAATTTAAGAGAAACTTTTTTATGAAAACCTTTTCACAGAGGTCACTCGGTGTCAATATCAAAGGATTGGTGTAGAACATTTGACCAATTCTTTGTTTTTCGAACCGAGAAGTAGGGTTGAGATAAGCTACACACACAAAATCGCCATTGCATCAAAATGACGTGTAACCTCTAAAATATGAAAGAGGGCGTTCCTCATCGTTCATTGAATTCACGGGCGCCTTTGTACATCATGGTGAAAAAGGAGAAAACATTTGCAAAATTGGTCGGAGTATTATGAATTTAATGTGACATGAAAAATAATATACAATAAAAATTCATACTGCAAATGATAAAAATATTAAAAAAAGAAATGAATAAATATTCATTTTTTTAAAGTTTTTCCGAAAAAAATATATTGCAAGATAATGATATAAGATTTACGATAAATAAAACAAATAAAGAAAAAATACTAGTAAATGCTGTTGATTCTCTTTTATCTTTCAAATAGAAAATCGGAAAAATACCCTTCTTTAGTTTAAAACCATTTTCTATACAAAAAAAAATACAAAAAGAAAAACAATTTATTATCAACAATAGTACTTTTTATTCATGTAGATAGTATACAAAATCTATCAGATTGAATTTCTTCAAGTTTTTATTAAAAAGATTACTCAGAATTAATTTAAGATAGTCGTAAAAAGTTTTGGTATAGCATGTTTGTTTAGCCATGGAGTACCTATAAATCATTATAGAGAATGAAATATAGTTAAAAGAAAATGTATTAGAAGTTTTTTGTTTTCTAGATCTGTTTTCGAATTGTCTTTTTATAGTTATCGTTCTGTCATCTTATATTCTTTTGTTTGACATGAATATGTTCAGAATCGTTAAATTTGCTTCTCGATTTCGTTCTAATAGAATCTTCTTTACTGTATCGATGTCATCTGTTAACAGGACATTCATCATATTTTTTAGAATTTTCATGATCATGCTTACGTTGTTCTACATCAATCACTGTTGAATGACACTTACTTTCATAAATTATATTTCGGACTTCATTCAATTTTGTATAGAGAGATGTACCTATGATTTTCGGAAGCTCATTTTTCCAAGAAACACCGAGAACTCATTCTAGATCTTGATTAAGTAAGATTATTCGATATGATCCATTTTGTTCTTACCGCATTTCTCGTCTCATAATTTGATATTCTTCGAATAAGGGTGTGGATGTAGTTGAAGAGAAAATAATGCCAACACCCACGCTCACACCATTGTTGCTCTATTTAGCCATATATTAATGGGAAAGGATTGTGATAGTTGCATGAGTATAAGCTACTCGATCAGAATAAATAGTTAACTATTTCTGAAAAGTACTGCTATCAGTTCGCCAAATTTCTAATCAAGATGAGCATCAAACTGATGGACAAACATACCGTTTGAGAGAGCAATTAATTCTCTGTCAAATCACATAAGAGTTTAGAATGTTTCTCTGTCGAGTACATGATAATTATTTCAATTGTTTGAGGAAAAAACCTAGATAGTGCAGAAAAAAAAAAGATTTTTTTTCTATGTTTCTCAAAATTTATTTAGTTTCTTATCAAGATTTAAAATAAATCAAAAGGAAAACTATACTATTGGATAGAGTAACCAATGCTCTATCAAATCATATAGAAATAAAAAATTGTTGACGCTTTGAAGAAATATAAAAAACTGAAGAAAAACTAGTAAAATTAAGTGAATCATGCTGTATGTTATTGGATTTTTCCCCATTAAAAAACTGTCCCCTTTGCCTTTCATTTTTTCCTTCTGACTCTTAACGTCAAGGACTATCAAAATTTTAAAAAAACCAATTGATATCGAAGTCTTAACAGGGTGTGGATTTTTCCTTGAACCACATCTATATTCCTTGGATATAACTCCTTGAGTATTACATATAGGTAAATCTTTTCAAGTTTCATGAGTGCACAAACAAGTCCAAAATCTCCTTCTGCACGTCAAGTTAACCCATCAATTAAATTAGTTCAGAAGATTTCATCTTGAAATATCCATAGCATAACAAAAAAAGAAACCATCTCCAAAATTTTCATCGATTTTTTCGACTCTACGAAAAAAATTATTTTATTTCAGAAAGGAAAAAAAACCAAACGAAAACATCAAGAACAACAACAATAATACAAGAATAGAATGAAGACAAAGATCTACACATACACAATTATATTTCTTTTTTCATCCACATACACAAAAAAAAATTTTTTTTCTTTTTTTTTTCAAATTATTGCAACCAGGGGAATTGAGTTAAACTCAAGTTTTCTTTTTCTCCTACAATAAACGCAGGTGAAAAATAGAAAACAAAAAACTATACATTTAGATAAATTTTCTTTTTGTATTTCAAACAAAATTTTATTTATTTGTATTAACACCTGCTTGACGAACTTGTAATTCATTATGATATAATTTTGATAAAATTGATAATTGATGTTTCAATACATGTAAACTACTCGATGATTGAGTACGATTAATATCATTCAATAAATCATTATCGATTAATGAATCTGAATTTTTTTTCTCATCAAACCAATGAGGATTTTTAACAATTAATATTGGATGAGCAAAAAGAAATGAATAAAACCCTAAAACAAAAGATTCAAAAAAACAATTTTCTTAACAACAAAAAAAAAACATATCATACATTCTTGTGGAACATCAACATGTGTTTTATTAAGATTTAAACAAAGTATATGTTCAAAACGATGTTTAGCAATTTGTTCAGCTTCTTCAAATGTTTTTGTTGAACGTAATTGATCAATTGTATCAAATATTTCTTGTTCTTCAAATGGTGAAAGAAAACCAATACGAGTATCAAAACGATGATGTTGTCCAACAAGAATATTATTTAATGATGATATTGGATGGGACTAAATCGAAGAAATGATTTTATTCATTGCAAAAAAATATTACAGGATATAAAATATCAAAAACGATGTACCTGCTGTTGCTAACAAGACCACGATTTTTATATCCTATCTATCGTCATCACAACACATTATTGATATGCGATTACTGTTAATCTCTAACTCAAAATGTCTGGGACAAAGTTTTTTCAGATCTGCTCTTAGCGATGTTAGTGCTTCGGATTCTGATTTTTGCCTACAGAAAACTTAGTGTTCGTCAACCTGTCGCGTGCAAATGTTTACACGTAACCGCCAACACGTCCTTTAGATCGTGTTTTGCGATATAAAAAAAAAAAATTTTTTTTATTTCTGTTACCGTATTCGTAAATGCCTGTGGCTTAGTGATTGTTGGTTTTGGTGTTGTAGATTTCGTTGTAATTGATCGACTATCTATAGTTGATTCTGTTTTTTGAGTATCACCATTTGTTGTTATAACTGATGGTTTACTAAGACGTGGTCGTCCACGTTTTCTTCCTGTACTACTTCCATTAACTGTTGGCGTTTCATTAGTATTTGTTGATGTACGTGGTTGATATGAAACAGATGAACCATTAGCTGTTTGTCCGAAAACGGTTGTATTTTCATTTGGTGCTGTTGAATTACGTATATATCGACGTTTAGCTGGTGGTGTTATTGATGCATCAGTATCATTGGATGTTTGTTTTTTGAATTTTATTTTAACCGATGGTGTCTTACGAACGGGTACTTCATCAACAGATGATTCATCGTCAGATTTGAATTCAAAAGTTTTTTCAGCAAGTAATGAACGATCATTAGGATCAAGTGATGATGTTGGTACATTTGATGGTTCAGATATATCTTCTGATTTTGTCACTGATGATTTTGGTTTTCGACCTGGTTGACCTTTTGGAGTAGCTACGAAAACAAAAAAAAAAGAAAAATATTTTATGAAATTTTTTTTCTTGCGTTCTATCAATTATTCATACTAAGTTTTGATGTATAAAATTGAATTTTCGGTTCAATTTCTTCTAGACGTGTTTCACTTGTTTGTTTAAGTGCTTCATCAGCTTCACGTACAGCCATTTCCCAATCTTCACGACGACCAATAGTTACTTTCAATTGAAATCGTTCTGTTAATTGTTCTTTTTGTGATTTTGTTTGAGCCTGAAAGAACAAAAAAAAAAAACAATTTTCAAACTATTCCATTCAATTATCTTCAATCTACCTTATCAACAATTTCTTGTGCATATTTAGTAAAAGCTTCAACACCTTGATATGCAATTATTGCTGCATCAGGAACCCATGCAAAATCAGCTGTTGAACCATAAAATACGACAAAATACATTCGCTTTGCACGTGTATTACCTATAATAAACAAAATAGATTTTTTTTTCTTTTATTTTCTCCTTGCTTGATGACTCACCAGACACTTTAGTGAAACATCGTGTTGTATCATTTGGATCGCGAATAATAAGACTGGGCCACCTGGATAAATAAAAAATAAAAAATAATGTATTTATACAAAAAAACAAAGACGTACCATGGATGTCCGCCAATTTTAACCCAAACAACATCAGCAACATCATGAACAATTGGAATATTTTTCTCTCGTTCTTGTTCATCATCAGCATCAACAGCTGCTTGTTCTGCTGAATTA